TTTCTAGATCCTTTGTAGGTTTTGTTTTTTTCCCCTCCCTCTCAGGAGTAAAGATGCTTTTTATATTTTATGAAAAGCTTACATTTATATACATTTCTCATCATGAAACTCAATACAGAATTTGTAGCATTTTTAAAGTAGGAGTTGATTCCTCTTATATAACTCTTAAAGTATGGAATTTTCTAAATGAGATATAGTCAGTGTCAGTTGGTGGCACCTACTGGCAGAGGTATATCATGCCTAGAGCCTGTTGTGCCTACACGTGGGCTAACCCCACACAGCAGTCTGGGAAGGATCATGGGGAATAGGAAAAGTATATGCTGTATTGACCCAAAGTGGGCATTGCCTGTCTCCCGGAAGGAGGAAGGAATTATGCCATGCTATGGCCCTAGTCCAGTGATTGCCAATATGTGCTGAGGAATTAAGAGATACTATTATAAAAGAAGGATGTCCATATCCAACAAACTTGGGAAAGCCAAGTTCAGTTAACTTAACATGATTTTTAAATTACTAGACGTTGCAGAGCCTTTACTATCTTAATGAAATGTAAACGGGGGGTGGGGAGAGCACTCATGCAGCACACAGCATTTGTCATACTTAATTGTACGCTGTGACCCTTTTTTCTCTGAGCATCTCGTGTTACCTGGAATACACTTTGGAAATGATCCTCTGATCAGTGCAGCTGCAGAGAAGCATTTTCCTTTTGGCATCTTCTGAAGGCTTTATAAGAAGGCATTAGTCCCCATGGCATTTGCGAGCTCTGAGATAACCGCATACTGGACAGAGTCTGTTGTGAGGGTATCAGTGCAGTTTCCTTCCATAGGATGTGCCATAGTAGTGATTGAAAACCAGATACACATAAAAATTACCTGGAGACCTTTAAGGAAAGGAAACAACAAAACACGTGTGTCTAGACCCCACCCACTCTGGTCCACATTTGGTCAGCTCACGCGTTGCTATCTTACTGTGCTCGGGATACCTTTGAGAATCTAACGAAGGCTCTGATTTTCCTTCTGGAGGCAGGTGTACACAATGACTTCTCTGCTCGTGACTTTGTGATATTTGTAGCCTCATCCACACCCCAAACCCATGGATCTCTAGTAAAGAACCCCTGAGTTAAGTTTTCCCAAACACGAATTTAAGGGCAAGCAGGACCTACTCCATAATCTAGGTATCTGTGTACTCCATGAATTGCTTGGCCGTGGTGAGATTAGACTGTGTTGGAAGAAACTGCACACCGTCACAGTGGCCCAAGAAAGAAGCCCAGAGAGGAAGAAGACCAGGTGTGAGGTGGTGGTGATTTAGGAAACCTGCCCAGGAAGGCAAGTCCAGGCAGTGACACCCTTTCAGCTGGGGCTTTTAAGGGATGGGGGCAGTTTTGGGCCCCTGCAGCATTGGTCAATCTGGAGATGATTTTGGTTGTCATCATTAGGGCGGGGGAGGGGGATGCTACGAGTAGGTAGTGGCCTGTGATGCTGCCACACATCCTGCAGTGCACATGACAGGGCCCTCCCCGCCCAAACAAAGAATTGCCTGGGTCCAGCCAGTGTCAGGAGTACCAAAGTTGATCTGCCCTCGAGTCTAGCTGCTGCTTCCTAGATTGTATCTTTCATGGGTAGTCGTATCAGAATAAGAAGGTTTGCATTTTTATTTACATGTGACGCTTCTTGGTAGACGTAGGAGGAAAGAGATGATGATGAGAAGGATAGGAAGTGAATAAGCCAGGTTAGTATTTCAGAGAACTTGACTTTCCCAGAAGTGTTGCAGGCTTAAAGAGGATTTCAGCTCTCAGAGTGGCTTACCACATGGTTTCAGAGTTTGGATGTAGGAAACCACCTTCCTTTTCCCTTGGAAGGCTCACTGCTTTGTCTTACCTTGCTCTTCAAAGAACCTGTGCCCTTTTGTCTGTTACACCTCTAAGGAATAAATGCCAAAGTGATTTTTAAAATGGTGGCTCCTGTAAGGGAGTTTTTGATTCTTGCCATCCCTCCTTATTCCCCATGTAGCAGCCTGGGAAAGATGATGGGGACTAGAAAAGGTATATATTTTATTTACCAAAAGGGGGCATTTCCTTTGTCTCCCAGAAGTATTTGTCTGGTGAAGTGTGAGGAGGAAGAGATTACGCCCTGCTATTGCCATGGCTCAGTGTTTGCCAATATGTGAAGTGTTAAGAGATGTTATTATAAAAGGGGGATGTTCATAGTAACCAACATGAGAAAGCTAGGTTCAACTAACTTAACATGAATTTTAATATATATATATATATATATATATATATAGTAATTTTATTGGGGAACAGCCGTCGTCATTGGTTACACATCGCTTTCAAGCTACAATGGCATAGTTGACTCTTTTAGGGAGGGCGCAGCTCACAGTGGCCCATGAGGGGATCCAACTGGCAACCTTGGTGCTATGAGCACCGCACTCTAACCAACTGAGCTAACCAGTCACCCCTTAACATGATTTTTAAATTATGAGACATTACAGAGCCTTTACTGTCTTAATGAAATGGATGTGATATGTGTATATGTGTGTGTGAGAGAAAGGGGAGGGGGGAGAGAGAGAGAGAACGTGCACACAGTACACAGCATCTGTTGTACTTACGTAGACTGGGGGACCTTTCTCTGAGCATTTCGTGTCACCTGGAATACACTTTGGAAATGATCCTCTGATTGTTGCAGCTGGAAAGCAGCATTTTCCCTTAGGCGTCTCCTGAAGGCTTTATAAGTTGAAAAAATATATGATGAGGCGCTTTTCCAGCCCCCACAGGACTTCATTAAATACAATTTTATTGAATTGTATATCTTGATCAACTTTTATCAAGCCTTAAGAAAATAGTTGCTTAAGAAAATAGAAACAATCAGAGGGGTTGTTTCCTTTTCAACTATATAAACACCATTTCTCTGTTTTGGAATGAGTGAAAGGAAGAATTAAATTTTCTTACTGCAAAGACTATTGTTTCTTGTGTAGTCTGCAGGGACGTCTGACTTTTTTTGTTTCCTCCCTGAGTGAGGAAAGTATTAAGGCAGCTTAAGTAAGAACAGCTCTCATGTATTCAGGCTCTTATATTTCAAAAGTTTTTAGTTGACAACACTGTACATAGGTACGTCCCTTGTACATTTCCTGGGGTGCCTGGAGACATGAGGGCGGGCACTTATCTCTCATCTAGCTTCCATGTTACATGCTCAACTCTTCATGTGTCCAGCCATTGTTTCTCTGGCCACCCTCCTTAGAACCTAGGACATTGTGATGTTGTAAGGATGGCCTTGTAATACCAGACAGACTCCGGAAATGGTGTACTGAGTCATTATTCCCGCGTTATTCATTCCCCTAACGAAACCTGCCAGCTTTATTAATCTAAGTCCCTCCAGATAGCAGCAAAAGGAAAACTACATGGAGACAGAAATACTACGTGTTTCCCTAGTCTCCATTCCCGTCTCATTCAGGATCCTTTATAGCTGCCATACCCGTTCTAGACCTACCTGTTTTGGACACTTGGTCACACTATCCCGCCAGCTTGTGGTTGGTCCTCGGACTGGGGCCCATCTCTCCTGCCCCCTCTCCCATTGCAGACCTTGGTGCTGTGGGGCATATAGAATTTTATTGAGGAAGCCAGTGGCTTTTCTGTGTTGGCGACCATCTGGAGCCATTCTGTCAAAGTGTGAGGTTAGAAAAGCTTGAGAAGGCACCACACGGGGGAAAGCAGCGTCTTCCAAGCAGGGCGTGAACAGACTTTGAATCCGTTACCTACCAAGCCCTGTGCTGGGTAGTCGCAGCGCAGTCCCAACAACTCTGTGTGTGTACATGGGTAGCACAGCTTGCTGAGGGTCACACACACACTGAGCGAGCCACCAAAGCAGGGTCCCACCTTCTCTCGTTGGTTTCTTTGGCTTTCCTACTGCATCATACCCCGTTCCTGGTGTTCAGTGCTGATTCTCCTGCCTTACCTACATTGGTGTTTTCAAACAAACTGTTTGGAAATACTGTATGGGTCCACACATTTTGTGACTTGAAGAGCAAGCATAAAGGAAAAATGGGGCAAATCTAAGAGATAAGCTTGTCCCCTCCAGGCGGTAAACAGGATCTCGGTAAACAGATCTCCAGGATCCTTTTGAACAATACTATGGGACAAATGTTGTAGTTTAAATCTTGTACCCCAGTCTTCTAATTTTGTTTAGATTTAGGAAGGAATCTTAGGGGGACTGAGTTGTTCTGCCTTCCTCAGCACAACTCTCCCACTTCCCCTTCTCATTAAGTTTCCATTTAGCTATTAGGTAGGAGCTTCAAAAGGGAAAATCCAATCATGTGTAATCTCCAGTTAATGGGCATCTATTGAGCGACTAGGTCACCAGAAAGAATAATTACACAGCCCCTCTTTGTGGAGTAAACAAAATCGAAAGCTAATGAAGACCTCAGGCAAGCCAGGTTGTTACTGGCTAGCAGGACCAGCCTCTTCAGGGAAAGGCTGGGGCACCCACCGAGCTTGCTAGGGGGCATTGCAAAGCCATTCCAGAAACACAAGGCCATCCAGGAAGGAAAGAGAAAGGCTTGTGGGCGGGGGGCGCCTCCAGGGCTTTGTCAGTTCTAATTGCTGATGGCTGGGCTGGACTACTGAATAGCAGACATTCTAGTAAATGTTTTGTGCAATCAGGAACTTAGTGGGTCTCTGGGGCTTCTTGCCACAAGTAAAATAATAACAGTGATGACTGAGGCAGAGCCTCAGCCCCACTCCTATAATTTAGTCTGTTTTTTAAGTCTGCCCAACCTTCCTATAAGTAAGACCTTATGCTTACTTTGGTCCAGGCATTAACTGTATTGATTTATGAAAGATGATGAGCACAGCCCCCTTGACCCAAAGGGCACCTGTTAGCCACAAGCAAGTAGCTCTTGGGTTTGCATTGGTACATTCTAGTTTGGGTCTTCAAAATTATATTTTGGTGTAGTTATTTAGGATTTGCAAAACTCGGCTTAATTCAAATAACCTGTTTTTCCCCCCTTAGAACACTTCAGTTATGGAGGATCAAAATGAAGATGAGTCCCCAAAGAAAAATACTCTTTGGCAGGTAGGAATGACCGCGCCCAGATGAGACAGCAGTTGACTTACTGTAGATAAGATGCTCCCTCAGCTCATGACCTCATTGAAAACAAGAGCCGCGCAGTTTTGGTTGTGCGGGTGTGCAATTTTGCTAGCTTCAGAATTCACACTAATTTATCCTCTGTTCCTTAGGGAAGTGTCATTATGAATAGTAAAGATTTTGGAGTTTTCACAGTAAAGATTCTGAAGTGACTGTAGCCTAACGTGTTCTGTCTCTGGTCACTGTCTAAGCCAGAGATGCACACTGCACCGATGCTGTCCTTGCTCACCGGAACGGCACCATCCCACACACCACGCGAGCAGTGGGGTCTGCTCTCCCGCCCCTGCCCTTCCTCATTTCCTGGGCCTTTGTCCTTCCCTTTTAAACTCACTTTCCTTCTTTCCTGGCTCTTAGTTTGCCCGATTTCCTCCCAATTCCCCAGTTTGTTTGGTTTTTTTTGGGGGGGGGGGAAGCATGTGACATTTCATGATTTGGTGTTTTTATCAACCATTATGGTATAGATAATGTTTCCCTTCATGAAGACACAAAGGCAGAACAAATCTAAATCGGAAGAGAATGTTTTTTTAAAAAATTCTCTAGATTCATTTGATTTGAAATGAAAGGGTACATTAGTTGGCAAGAATGAAGTATCCCCAAAAATTTAAAATGAAATGAAACAAAGCAAAGTGATGCCAGGAAGGTCTCTGGGCCACGTGGGTGGTTAGAAGTGGAAGTGGAAATCGTGCTGGAGAAGTGTGCCCGCTGGTTTGGAGACTGCGCACCCTGACTTCCGATCCTTCCTCACGTTTGAGGCTTGCAGTGGGATTCTCCTCAGTTACTAGTGATGTTTTCAGTTCAAGTGGTCGTTCACATGTTGGTTTCAGGTTTTCTCTCATCTGGCTTTCAGTCAAGTAGTTAATGATAGACCAGGGCTCTAGGGAGCTAGGGGGTTAGGAACCTTTCTGTAAGGGAAATAATAGCCCTTCTGCTTATCAAATAAGATAATGGGTATGGAAGTATTTTGTAAATGAGAGAGCAGTACACAAATGCAAGTTGTTACCATCATGATATTTAACCTGTTAGGAAAGCAATGATTTTGGCAAGTTATTATGAAAAAAGTATAGTCAGAACCGGGGGGGAAAGAGAACATATATAGTTTTGTGTCTCTAGATTAGGCACTTTTAACGTTTTCATACACGTACTTTTATTCTGTCCTGGCGTGGTTCCCGCGCACAAATGATTGCGATTATGCTGTGTAAAATTCGGCTTCTTGCCTTTTGTTCCTTGTTATTTCATAAAATATTCTCTTGTTATTAAAATCTTACTTTATAAACCTAATTTTGATGACATTATGGTACTTTGGGAAGATGTACTACAATTTGCTTTAACCAGTTGCCTATAATTGGGCAATTATTTCTCATTTTTCTCTGTTACAAACATGGTAGACATCCTCCTGCTTACGAGTAACAAAGATGCTCCTTATACTAGTTGATATTCACCACAGCAGAGTTTTCACTTCATCTCACTGTTTTTGAATGTTGACTTTTGGGTCTGAATGTCTTAACTAAAAGCAACGTCAAAATTCCTGTTCAATGCTGCCCTCTGGTGGCACCCGCTGTCAGTGAGTGCTCCCTCATCCACATTACAAGGAAAAACCATTCCAAGACAAGGAAGTGGTTAAGATAAATGAGATGGGAAAGCAATGCCTTCCGACTTTATACCCCTAAATGTGGACGTAAGAACTTGCCTCAGACAGGAAAGGTTTATAAGATTTTATCAAGGAAATCCAAGCCCTCCTTTGGATATTGACAAAGGCTGTCTTCTTTCAATTAGGGAACACACTGATAATTAAAGCTCTTGGTTCTTTCTATGTAAGACTTCCGAGAGAAGCTCCTAGTGGAATTATGGATACTTGTAATGCAGCTCTTCAGTTTCCAAAACTTTTATATGTTCTTCCTTCTGGTATTCCACATGAAAGGGGCTGCCAGAGGAGTGATGGGCAGATAGCTTGGCCAATGTTTGCCAGAAGCGTTGTGGTTACTTTTGTTTTTAAACACTTAGGCTACTGAGCCTAGTAGTTGTGGCTTCAGCCTAGGGATTCAGGTTTTATTTTTGGGTGCCCTTGTCCCAATGCAGTGTGTGTAGTTTCAATTTTTAACAAACATACTGATTTTGTACAAGGACCATGCAGATTTGGTGAGAAAAGCACAGTTAGTGTAGAGTCTGTGGGACATCCATGAACCAGCCGCATAAGACGTAGAACTTTTCAGGCACACGTGGCCCACCTTGGGTCACTTTCTGAGTAGGTGATCCAAAGGAGGGAGTGAAAGTCTAACGCCTGCTGCCAGCAGTTTAGTGGCCCTTGAAACAATATGGAAATCGGAACTGCTGGGTAAAATGAAGCTTTTTAGATTCAGTTACCTTCAGGTTTCTCCAGTGGATAAACCAGTGGTTTTCAAAGTCAGGCCCCTAACGTGTACTCTCTGGACCAGCAGCTGCCGCAGCCCCTGGGAACTTGTTAGAAACACACATTCTCGGGCTCTATTCCAGACCAACAGAGTGGGAAGGTCTGAGGCAGACCCGGCAATCTGTGTGTCAAGAACTCCTCTTGTTATTCTCATATACACACAAGTGAGAACCACTGGCAGAGACGAATATAGCATTCACTTTCAACTTTGAGGAAGTAAAACGATTAATGGCCACTTTGCCAAGCTGAGCAGTTTTTCTAAGATGGTTTTCTCTAACATTTGTTATCTGATGACAGCATGGTTTGGGAATAAGCATTGGAGAATGATGCTTAAGACACCATTCAGTTTTAGAAATAGCTCTACTTCACCCTCTACTTCGGAGACTAATTCGAGGACACGGGCCCTGGATACGTTTAAAATGAGCTCCTGAATGAATGAATAAAGGAATAAATGGTAAAGGCTTTAGGGTAAAACTGGCATTTTAAGATTAAATACACAGGGTGAAAAATGTTTCTAATGAAATACCAATTAAATGCCTTTTCCTCGTGGAGCTCATCATTTGTTTGTTTTTCTAAACTAGATAAGTAATGGAACGTCATCTGTGATCGTCTCCAGAAAGAGGCCATCGGAAGGAAACTATCAAAAAGAAAAAGACTTGTGTATTAAATACTTCGACCAGTGGTCCGAGTCCGATCAAGTGGAGTTTGTGGAGCACCTCATTTCCCGAATGTGTCACTACCAGCATGGACATATCAACTCATACCTGAAGCCCATGTTGCAGCGGGACTTCATTACTGCTTTACCAGGTAACTCCTCGTCTTCCCAGAGGCTGAGCAGTGGAAGAATGCCCGGCTCTGGGGCCTGGGCGGAGCTGGCGGTGTCTGTGAAAGGAGGGAGGGAGTGCAGGGTGACGGCACTTCTTTGGGGCCCACGCTGTATTTTAACGTGGCACTGGGAGACGAGTTCTAGTTTAGCGCCCGTCTAGGAAATGGAGGCAGCTTCTGTGATGAGTGGTGTGGCCCGATGGGCAGCAGCATGTTTCATGTCATGTGTTCAATGAGTTCATGCTATGCTGTTTATTTTGATGTAGTCTGTGTATAGTCTGCATTTTGCCTTTATAAGTAATTTAATTTTTAACATGGGCCAATTTTTCCTATAGTGTTTCTGCTTGGGAAGTGCCCCAAAGTTTAGGGTGTTCGTTTGTATCTGCAGTGACACCAGGGAATGGCAGAAACATATCAGGAACACTGATAGCATGTCTTTATTACATTTCTCAAAACTTATTCTCCATCCTCTCCCTTACCATCCTCTCTCGCGCGCGCGTGTGCACACACACTCCGGTTAGGTTTACTTTGATTTTTTTTTTTCAATAGACTATTTTTTAGAATAGTTTTAGGTTCCAAGCAACATGGAAAGGAAAATACAACATCCCCGACCCCCTCCCCAGCCTTCCCCATTGTCAATATCCCATCCCTGAGGGGTACATTTGTTATAATACACGGACCTACATTGCCACGTCCTTATCACCCAGTGTCCATGCTTTACATTAGGGTTTACTCTTGGTGTTGTAATTGTGTGGGTTTGACAGATGTACTCGTGTCATGCTATGTATCTACCCTTCCAGTGCCACACAGACGACTTGCACTGCCTGGCACACCCTCTGTGCTCTGCCTATTCGTCCCCCTTGGATTTTTGATCACTCATTAACTCGTTTCTCTCTTCAGTTTCTCCCTCCGTCTCTTCTCTCTCTGTCTCCTTTTCTTTTTTAAATTTTAATTTATATTTGGCTACATAAATTAGAGAGATGTCGTTCCTGAAGAGAATGCTAGCCAGAACATTTTCCACCATGGTCATTGTAGTCTACAGATTATAACGGCCAGGCCAGGGCGGGCCGAGAAACAGCCAGGGGAACACCAGTGCCCTTGCCACCAGCCCTGCCCCTGTCAGAGCTTCTGGGTGGCTCCTCAAAGAGTCGCTCCTCCTCAGCCTGTCTGTGGTTTGTGGTGCATCAGGACCCCAAGTTCTGAGTATTTGCACAGCTCAAGGACCGGGCCTCGGGTCTCAGGCCTGACACCCATGGCTGCAGGGGGACAGGCCAGCTCCTGATTTCTTACCCTCTCCTAAAATTTGTAAGTTTACTTTCTGCAGTGGGAGTACTTAAGGATATTTGAGAGTTAGCTTAGAAAATTATGACGACTGTTGTGCCTATGCTGAAATGTAGCGCTGTTGGCCTCATTGCATCCGTTAGTATTTCTAGAAAATCAAATAGGAAGCCTGTCTTTCTAGATCACAGTATTTAATAGCTGGAAGGGATCTTAGCCATCACGTAGTCCTTTCTCAGCGTGCAGACCAGGAAACCGTGGATCAGGGAAATTGGGTGAAACGCCCAAGGTCAAACCTGTTGGCTATTGTGGTGGCTGTGCAGGTGGTTCCAAAGTCAGTGCAAAGGCTGAAAACCTTTATAGTGAAATTACTCTGGACAAGCCCTTAAACTGGCCATAAGTATAGAATGCATGGTGTACAACCCAGTTCAGTAATGTTGACTTTTACATAGAAGAAAGGGAGAGAGAGAGGAGAGAAAGATACACGTAAAATTGTGTGAGGGGG